TTTTTTTTTTTTTTTTTTTTTTTTTTTTTTTTTTTTGCATCTAGAATTTGCATGTATAACTATATATTTTCCACACAACTATTACCGTTTATTCTGAAGAAGGTTAATAATACATCTTATTAACCAACATGAAATTGCTAAGTAAAAAAAAAAAAAAAAAAAATTAGTTAATGGTTTTTTTTATTTTTGTAATTTAAATACATTAAAAAGTAAATTTTTTCTTTTTTTAAAAGGAATTTAGTTATCGAAAAATAGAAGAAAAAGTTTTTGAATAAGAAAGATTATTGTGGTGTATTTTTATTTAAATTAATATAAGAAAATTTTATATTAACTATAATATAATTTTTGTGTTTTGTAGTACTTACGTAATATAATTTGAATTTTATCATTTATTTATGCTTATTAGTTTGAGAGCAATAAATATGAATTGTTAAATATAAATCATAATATAAGTAAAATAAATGTAATTAATGTTTTATTAATTTCCTATTCATTACTTTGATAGAGTATTGAAAAAAAGGATTAATAACAAGCACGTAGAGTTTCTTCTACCTTTTATATGAATTTAAATATGTTTTTAATACTATAAACCATTGAAATGTATATGATCTCCTTCATTGAGCATTTATTGTTTTTAAGAGGCATTTAATTATTTTAATAAAAATCCCTATTTTTTTTTAAAAATTTAAATTTTTATTAATTATAGATTTAAATCACATATATTTTACTTATAAGGTTACGATTAATGTTTAACATTTCAAATTCACTTCTCTAGAATTAGCAAATATAAATAACAAAACTCGAAATAAGTTATACAATGATACAAACGTGAAAATTTTATTATTGTTAATATAAAATTTTCTTTTAAAATTCAAAGGTAAAAATTTGTCACAAAAAAACTTTTTATCAAGTTTTCTTCCATTTTTAATAACTTGAATATTTTTTTAACACTATTCAATTCTTTTTTTTTTTCATTTATCTAGTACTTTCATGTCTATTTATTTTCCATACAGCTATTAATTTTTTTTCTCAAAACCTGTAATAATTCCTTTTATTAACAAATCTTTAACTCTAATAATTCTCAATAAAGACTTTTTTTTTTTTCCTTTTTGTGTCCTTTTTTTGTCATTTAGGTAAGCTGGTAATAGTTCTGCATCCAACTTTTTTTTTTTATTTTATCCTCTACATTTACTATCAGATTTATTTACTTTCCATAAATTACATTTTTAATTTATTAAATTATCATTGAATATATTTGCTAGAGTAATGAAAAATATATAATTAATGAGAATATAGAGTTTTCTCTGATAATTCAATGGATTTTAAATCTAATTTTAATGATATAACAAGTAAACATCAATAGTGCGCTTCATTGGGAATTTACTTTGATAAAAATTATGTATTCTTATTAAAAACATATATTTTCATTAATTATTAATTTTTAAGTACAAAATAATTATTGCTTTTTATAAGTAATTTTCAGTAATTTAAGTTCACTGCTTTTAAAAATAATAAAAATACATAAATAATAAAAAGAAAAATTTAATTATATTAATACCACACAACGAAAATTTTATTCCTAAAAAGTAAAAACTATTCTCATGAAATTTTTTCTTTTTAAAAAATTTTTCTCTTTTAATTTTATTTTTTTCTTAAAAATAAAGTATATTTCTATAAAAAAAGAATTTAGACAAAATATTAATTTTTATTTATTTTAACTAGAACTTGCGCATGAATAATCCTATATTCTCTGTTAAAACATTAATTTTTATTTTCTTAATGGTTATCAAACCTCTTAAAAAGAAATTTCAAAATATTTGATTTCTTATTTTTTATTTTATTTTTTCCCTTCTCATTCTTAGATTCGGATTCTGTCTTATTGTCTGTCATCTCATTCTTAGATTCGGATTCTGTTTTATTGTCAGTCATCTCTTTATTAGATTCGGATTCTGTTTTATTGTCAATCATCTCTTTATCAGATTCGGATTCTGTTTTATTGTCTATCATCTCCTGCATAGATTCAGATTCTGTTTTATTGTCAATCATCTCTTTATTAGATTCGGATTCTGTTTTATCTTCTATCGTCTCTTTCATAGATTGAGATTCTGTTTTATTGTCTATCATCTCTTTCATAGATTCTGATTCTGTTTTATTGTTAATCATCTCTTTATTAGATTCGGATTCTGTTTTATTGTCAATCATCTCTTTATTAGATTCGGATTCTGTTTTATTGTCAATCATCTCTTTCATAGATTCTGATTCTGTTTTATTGTCAATCATCTCTTTATCAGATTCGGATTCTGTTTTATCTTCTATCGTCTCTTTCATAGATTGGGATTCTGTTTTATTGTCTATCATCTCTTTCATAGATTCTGATTCTGTTTTATTGTCAATTATCTCTTTATTAGATTCGGATTCTGTTTTAATGTCTATCATCTCTTTCTTATATTCGGATTCTGTTTTATTGTCTGTCATCTTATTCTTAGATTCGGATTCTGTTTTATTGTCTATCATCTCTTTCTTATATTCGGATTCTGTTTTATTGTCTGTCATCTCATTCTTAGATTCGGATTCTGTTTTATTGTCTATTATCTCTGTCTTACATTCGTCTAAGAATTTCACGAATAGATTGTATAGTTCTTTCTCAGCAGAATAAATTAATCTTTCTTTTTCCTCTTTTGAAATATCTCTTCGATGAAATATTGAAGATAGTTCTTTAACTTTGTTAGCTGAAATTCTATTCCATTCATTATTCCATTTTTCGTCTCTCCATTTAGAGTCCATTTCACTTGTCTCACTATTAAATCGTTCCCGCAAATATGGAGTAGTATCTCTTTGCCATGCGTCGTGCGGATTCTCGTATTTAAACGGATTTTTCCATTTTATTTTTTTTTTTTTTTTATCTAATGGACGTTCTTCTAGACATCCTTCAGCGTTAGTTTGCTTTTTACCTGCTATATCACCCTCTGTTAAAACTCTTTCAGATTTTAACTCATTTTTTGTTTGCAATATATTTTTATAAATCAAAGTTTTATAGGAATCACACTGTGGATTAAATAAAAATTTTTTAAAAGAATGTTTCTTTTGTTAGAATAGAAAATCAAATGAAATTTTAAAAATAATTAGAAATAAAATATATCTATAGATATATTTTTGTAAAAATTTTAACTTACGTTATGAAAACATAGATATATCAAAATTAAAAGAAGGAATGTAGTAATTTTTAAAAATAAAATTAACGTTCTCATAATAATATATTTATAGAATAATACTGATGTGGAATTGTTAATTCAGGTTTAAAATTGTTTCAATTTTCAACAATGCTAAATTATGGATTTGTAATAATAATTTAGATATTATTATAACTTATATTATTTTCTTAAATTTTTAAAATAGAAAATTATTTTCATATGAGAAATGTAATTTCTAATTTATTATTATTACTTATGATATTATGGTTACTTTAGATAGAAATAATATTCTTAATTCTTTAAAAAATAAAATAAGAATGTTAATTAACAAATAAATAAAAAATATAATAAATCGGATAAGGTTAT